TGGAATTTATGAATAAATTATTCATTGCCCTTTAAAATTTACACGGTCTTATCATTGAGCATACTTCTTATTCCTTATAATATAGTAGTTGTATGGATAGACCATAATATTTTGATTTTTCAGTTTCATATATCCCCGAATAATATTTTTAAATTACAACAAAAAACCAAGATCGTTAATATTGATTTTAATATGTAATTTTGTCCAAATATGAATTTAAAATGTCTGTAAAAAATAACTGTGCTTATATATTTTTTAAATTTTTTGGCTACAGTATGAACTAATTATGAGAATCATTTTTTTAAATTTTCAATCCTTAGCTATAAAAACTGAACATTTTATAATTTATTAATTACCATGGTTGATAATTTTCGAGATTTTGATAAATTTTGTCAAAATGCGATTTAAATGCTTATAAAAAAAAATTGTGCCTATGTATTTTTAATATTTTTCAATTGCCATTGTAACAATATATCAGGTGCCTTGTATTAATTTTTTACACTTTTTGGCCCAACAGATAAAACTTTATTGATATTTATAGAAAAAAAAAACTAAAAAAATTGAAAACTGAAAATGTCCGTAAACGGCTCAAAAAGAGTCAAAATATTTTCAAAATTGTATGGTGTATAGGAAATGCTAATATAAATAATATAAACTATATAAAATATTCAGTGAAATTTTCATGTATCTATAGTAATTCGTTTTTGTATTACATTAACAAAATAAGGAAATCGCTTCATGAGAAATCGAGTGAATATCCAATGTTGTAAAAATTTGAATTTCAAACGCTCATAAAAATTTAATTTGACATTCTTATAGAATTTTTTTTTTTTGATTAATGTAGGAAATCTTATAAGGAATCTTGTATTACATTTTCATATCTTAGATTAAAAATGAAAAAAATTTATGAATTTCTAACTCGAAATAATTTGCAAATTTTCGTGATTTTTCCATATTTTGTCATTTTTTGAACTTAAAATGCTTAAAAAAAAACTGTTACTAACGATTTTTAATATTTTTCATCTGTCTTTGAAACAATATAGTAGGAGCCTTGTATTAAATTTTCAAGTATTTTTACTCAACAAATACATTTTTATTGATATTCATAAAAAAAAAAACTAATAAAATTGGAAACTGAAATTGTCCCTAAACAGTTCAAAATAAATCAAAATATTTTGAAAATGTTATCGTGTATAGAAAATGCAAATATAAACAACCACTGAAAATTGCATGTATCTACGGTCATTTGTTTTAATGTTACACCAAAAACCAAAATCGATTTTGTTGAAAACTGATTTTGCGTAAAAATTCCCGTTTTCCTTAATTTTTCTTTTGTTTTTCCCGGCGCTTTTGAAAACTACTGTGAAATTTAAAATTTTGGCCTGCCCCATGCACCAACGATATTCACTTTCCAATCGAACAAGATACTGAAGTTGAAAAACGAAGCATTATTTCGACTACTTATCGTGTACACGGACACGAAAAAAATTAAAAATTAAAAAACACATCATTGTAAAATCAATACAGTCATCGTTCCACTCAGAATTTGAAATTGGGCAAGTGGATACAGCTGGTTCACTGATTTCATTGATTTCAAAATTGTAATTATTTACCTACCTACTTTATAGTTAATTAATTACCTATATCGAATCCGCAAAATATAATTTCATATTTTTAATTGCGATGACTTGATATAGATTTTTTATATTACCTAGCATTTTCAGCATGGATACGGCACAACAACATTGATGTGTAAATAAAAAGAAATATCTACCAAGCTGCAAGTACCTACCTAGGTTTATAGGTAGGTATTTGAAAATTAGTATTTAGGCAATAAGTGATCTTCTCGAGTGTATAATTAGGTAGGTAGGTACCTATCTTATGAGTTAAAATTTAATGGTGCAAAACTACTTACCAAAATGATTTTAAATATTGTTAGCATAACAACACGACATTTGTTTCACATTAATCAATTGACAAGAAACCGTTAGGGAGGAAATATTTTTGCCCAAGTTGTCCTATTCGACGGTACCTGGTAATTAAACTGTACCAATACTGTGTAAAATATGTTAGGTATAGGATTATAATATAATTTTAACCGCGTATCACACTCGACAAGTGACTGAACATCGAGTGCCTAAATAAAATATCATTTATGGCAATTTTCTTTTAAGACAATTGATAAACGTATAAATAGAATAGTGGGCTCTACTGACTTCATTAATTTTAAAACTATATAACTATATGAAGGTAAATATATACCTACCTACTTACTTTATAATTAATTATACCTATGTAACATTGTAACGAATACGACATAACTACATTGATGTGTAAATATAGGCCAGTACTACAAATGTATGAAATAAAAAGAAATAGGTACCTACCTACCAAGTTGCGAGGTGCCTACCTGGCAACCTAGGTTCATAAGTATTTATTTGTAAATTAGTAGGTATTAGGCAATAATAGTGATCTTCTCGAATGAATACTTTGGTAGGTACCTATCTAATTAGTTAAAATTTGATGCTGCGACACTACCTACCAGGTTATATTTAAATATTGTTAAGATAACAACACAATATTTGTTTCACATTAATTAATTGTCAGGAGGATTTTTGCTCAAAGTTGGCCCATTCGATGGTACTTGGTACCTACCTATAGACACTGTATAGCTGGTAGGCAGTCTTGTAAAGTTGTTGAGTAAAAGTAATTGAGTAAATGTATTTAAATACTTTTATTGTATTTAGAATACTTTTTAAATACTTTTTGAATAAAGGATTTGGAAAGTATTTTAAATACGGTTTTGGACGTATTTGTATTTGAAAATCAAATACTTTTATTTAAATACTTTATCGATTTTTTTTCACTAATAAATGATTATTTATTATCTTTTTTCTCAGAAATCAAAGTAATATTATGACTAAATAATAATATAGTTATGAGTAATATCATTGAAATTTAGTAAGTTTAGTTTATTCCCGACATAGCCTCCTAAAATGCAAAATATTATTGTTTTTTTTTAATTGAAGCCTATATTAGTTTATTGTGATGTGAATTATTTAAAACTCCAAACTATAAACATAGAACAATAATGAAGCGAAACTCGATCAGCTGATTCGGTTTACGACTTTACGTTTACCTATGATCTATAAAGTCTGAACCTAAAACGAGCCCATAAATCAACATGATGTTAGATCCACGAACGACGTGCGAAAAGACGAAACTGTCGGAGAAACCGAAAAAAGTCCGGCCGGGAGCGTATTTTGCGATCGACATTGCGACGGCTACGGACGGCGCACGGATATAAACCACCCACCGGCGGCTTCGAGAGATCGCGAGCTACGCGAATCGAGTATTAAAAAAGGGCGAAAAACGATAGAAAACTGTCGAAATAGTGTGAATAATTAAATAGTATACATACGTAATATATACATTAATAAAAATATTTTCACTACAGAAATATAGCATTTATATATAAATTATTTTGTCCAGAAGCTAGGTTTGTTGTGGAGATAAAGGTTCATATAATATCTATTTAGTTCTCATACAATAAATAATTAAAACGATCATTCGGTGATTATTAACTTATCATACAATTATAGGTACCTTGGTTAGTACCAGAATATGGAACATGCATTATAATATATGAACTATTAAGTAGGTATTAACTATATAATAATAATTAATATGTACAGTTTGAATGAGTTTGATCTCATGGTCAAATTTAAAGTTAAAATATCAGAGAAAAAGTATTGAACCCAAAGGTAAAACTTAAAACAAATGTATTAAAATAAGTATTTGTGTTTAAATACTTTCCAAGTATTTGTATTTGTTCTTAAATACTTATTGAAAAAAGTACCTACTTTAAATACTATTTAAATACTTTTTAAGTTGATGTATTAATTGTATCTCTATTTAAATACAAATTAAAAGTATCTTTTTACAAGATTGCTGGTAGGTAGGTATATAATATTAATTTAACAGCTCAAATATCACAAAATGAACTGCACAAACATTAGTCAAAATTCAAATCTCAAGTAGGTACTCAAATAACGTAAAATAAAATGTGAAATAATGAATTTGGTGGATCTAATTCCAGTGAAGTATTTTTCCAGCTTTATATTTTCTAATGTTAGGAATAATAAATACGTTATTTCGTAATTTATTTTATTACCTTCATTTTCGTATAATATTTTCCTGTGTAGCTAATATTTTTTTGGATTATTACTCAAGTACGTAACCGATTCCCGATTTTTTTATTCACGTTTAATACTTTCCCGGTTTATTGTGTGTAATTTTTCTCGCGTAAATGTGTAATGTTTTAAATCGTAGATCGTACCGCTGTAACGTGGTGGTAGAACGAACAGAATCATACTGTTGGGGGACCACTTGGTAATTTGTACCTATGAACCGGTGAACCGAACAAAAGTAACCGATTGTTTATAATCCAAGACCGTGATAACAAGAGTTCCGCTTATCACTAATCGCTTGTCTAATGTTTTCGTAGTTTTTACTTTGCGTGCATTGTGACGGATTATAACTTTTTTTTTAATTTTTACCGTGTGTGTTTGACCGGCTAAACAATAAATAGGTGCTTTTCAAACGTTTAATGTCAATAATACAAATAATACCTATCTCGTCGAATTTGTGACTGTGAAACCAAAAAGTTTTAATACGACACGCGATACCTAACCACCCAACTAGGTATTCTGTGGATGACTGGATTAACTACCACAAGAAAACATACACCTCAAAACACACAATATTCGGTCTATAGGAGACCGGAATACAGTGTGTCGTATACATTCCAAGACCGAGTGATCGAGGCTACCCACGTCCATTGATCAAATTTTTTTCCAAATTTCCAACTGCATACAATACGGACAACTGTCTACTGATACGGTTAACTTAAATATCCTACTTGTCGAATTGGTCTTGGTGTTTGCACTATTATATTAATTATTTTAACTTTATTTTTGATAATAGAATATAACAATACCATGCATAAGTGTATAGTGTGCGGTAATAGATCTATTAAAACCAATGCTAAAAGGGAAGGAGTTAGATATCATGGGTGAGTATCAATTTGTTCTAGAAATTTACTCACTTAAACTGTTGTGTAAAAATCGCACATTGATTTTTGAATCATATTATTCACATGGTTCATTGACCTGGTGCGGGATACTCTGAAATAATTTTGAACCGGTCTAGCCTAATAATTTCTACTTACTGATTATTTTCCTAATCTAACATTAACGATTTACTGTATTCATTGATATATTTTTTTATATAGATTTCCCAAGAACGATAACTTGAGTAGAGAATGGCTTAAAGTTTTAGGGATTGATCGTTGTCATAAATGGCAACGGGTATGCAGTAATCATTTTATAGAAGAGAACTATAGAACTGGAAAAAAGCGATTTTTACTTCCAAATGCTATTCCCCAACCTTATAATCGAAATGGTTTTATTATAATATAATATTATGCTATACATTACACTTCACGTATGTGGTTCGGTTTGCAGGATTTTGATTAGTTAAAATATAATTGATTATAAATAGGTACTTACTATTATAACCAGTGGTTAATTTAGTACCTCCTATATCAAGACTATAATTTAGAGACATATAGTGTACCTATATTTAAATTAAATATTTTATGGTTATACGCACTTTCAAACTTATTATTTAATATTTATTGCACAGATATGAATATGGATACAATATAATATTATAATATGCTTATCGTCAGTTATCGATTTGTTTAATTTGCCTTTAGATCTTTTTCTTGGTTGCCGTTGCCCTGGCTTGCATCGGTTCCGCCGCCGCCCAATACGTCGTCTACCCCGCTGAACCAGCCATCACTTCCTACTACCACCCCTACGGATACACCTACCCCTTGACTTACAACTACAGATTCGGTGGTTACCCATACCTCTTACGCCGTTGATTTACACAGCCGATGTCACTTCCTTTCTAATCGGTGAGTATATATTTAAACGGAAATCCCACCTAATTATCAACACTATATGTATATAGGTATCTAGTATCCATTATACTACTTAGACCAGCGCCCTGAAATGGTTTCTATAATGAATTGTATTCGTAAAACTTTATTAATTCATGTTCCGATTGAATTTTGATTAAGTAGATACTATTAAAAAGTTATTTGTAATCCACACAGTTTAACTCGTTTAAGACTCGTTCATATTATGTTCACATTATACTAATTAGCAATAGCAGTGCAGTCACTAATGCAGTATATACTTATAATATTATAATAAGTTCCTATATTCATTTTTATGTACATCAGAACATAGTATTATTCTATTAATTGTATTTTAGGTGCTTAAGAACTTAAAGTGGTCATTTTTTTTCCACTGTAGATATGCAATTGGACATTTCAATTTTAAATAGTTATTTGTTGCTCTAAAGTACAATATTAAAAAAACAAATCGTTATAGCAGGAATGAGCTGGATTAGTTTTAATTTTGTACAAAGATTAAAAATTAAAATATATACGTAGTATAAGTTTATTATAAAAACATTTTCTGTTTTCAGATATGCCTTGAAGAAGGACGTACAGACTTCACACTAAATTATGTTTGAACAATATGTAAAACATTTTATTTATTTAAAAAAAAAATGTAATTTATTTAACCTTTATATTCATCTCAATCATAATATTATATGCACTTTTTATTGAAATAAAAAATATTTATATAAAACTGTACATACTCTTGTTATTTTTATATATGCTTTATATTCTTGTATAGTATTATCAAGCATCTGAATGTTCTCGACATTTGTTTTTAAGAATATAATAAGGGACATTTTACTATGTGCCACAGCCACAACGGGCGCATGTAAACTCCGCCACAAGTACCTTTTTTTACTGTAAACTCCCCCAGAAAAAAAAAAACAGGTAAAATTGGGTTCATGTAAACTCCGCCACTGAAAAATATCAGGTAAAATTTAGTTTATGTAAACTCCGCCAGTGAAGAAAATCAAATAGTAGTATAAAATTAATATGATATTATATTATTAAAAAAAAATTATAATATAATATCATATCATATCATATCAATATTTAAATCATAGTATAAAAAATCATAATAAATAATCCAAAATCATATTTTTCATAATAATAATTAATAATTGTCAACATTAAATATACACAAATCATAGTCAAAAAACAATAAATAAATAATCGTCCACATAATATAATAAAATATAATAAATAATTAATAAATAATCGTTATAAATATTGTCATGTATGAAAACTATAATGATGTGATACAATTTGCAAATATTCTAAGTCTTGTATTTCTTTATTAGTATACCTATTCATAGCATCCTGTAATACTGTCATTTTTTTTTTTTGATTTCGAATTTTTTGGCTGATTTACTTGAGATATACCATTTAGTTTAATATAAGTTTGGGTTTGAAATTTGATAAGAACTTTACTAAAAATGTGAACATTCGGATGACTTTTATAAAATGAATTTCTCAGATGACTATATGAAAGGATTCAGAGGCATTTGTTGTTCGATTTAAAAAACTTTCATCTCTGATCGTTTTTGGTGCCATCTGAATAAACGAAGAAATAACTTCAGATCGCGAACTTGGAACTGAAGTTAACTGAAGTTAACTGACCAGGTAAAAAAAAAACTGGCGGAGTTTACATATACCCATTACAGGTAAGAAAAAAAAACTGGCGGAGTTTACCATAGACCTATTATTACCTTTTTATCTTGACCGATATTCTGGCGGAGTTTACAATCGCCCAGCTCTGTTAGTTTAAAAATTGAGTCAAACTTGACGGTAAGAACTTTATCTATGTTTGCATGTGGGTTTTATACGATAGTTAAGTTTTAAGTTATGACAATTTTTAATTTACTTTTATTTTACTTTATTATATACTCATAACTTGCTAAAAAATTTAACAACCATAAAAAAAACCCTCATAAAAACACGGATAATTTTCTTAACATCAGGTTTTATAATAGGTCGATTCACTTTAATTTTTATACTAACGGAACTAAACGCGATCTGCTGAGAGTAAATTTGATATGTTACGCACTTAACATCACAGGCGGAGACAAAAAATGGCCGTGTAGCGTCCTCTTAATCCAAATATATTTATGCAGTTGCGTATTAATAGTAAAATACATCATATTATACCTAACGTTTTAATCCCCACAAGGCCACAAATAATATTTTTAAATTAATTACAACAAAATAATTATTGAAAAAAACATTTTGAAATATATTGAGGATTTTCAAAATTGTTGTTAAATTTCGATTCAATTATTATAAATCATATTTTATACACCTACGTTAAAAACAATTCAGAGCGGAGACGTTCCGTCAGTCATAAAGATCAGATATAATACAATAAACTACTGACTTATAATGGATTTAACTAATGAAGATGTTGTACTGATTTGAGTTGTAATGAATTGAAGACCGGGCTTTTACTTGGTTTAATAACTATGGTGTATTCCAGTTTTGATTGTCTTATTTATTGTTTACTTTAATGTGCGGTTAGTGGTTACACAATAATATGTAATACTTTTCTATACATTAAAAGGCATTAAAATTAACAACTTGGAGTGGACAATATTTATGGATTACCTATATTTCGTTTTGAGATGAGACACAGGTGCATATTGGTATACGATCTCGTTATTTACCTTTTTTATTACCTAGTTATAATAAATTATTCATTAATAACACCATCGTGCGAATATATATTTCAAGGAAAATTATCGAAATGATGTCGTTCGAGGTCCAGTTCCTCGATTATTTTTCAAAATGCGCAATTCCAGCGCCGAGGTGATCGTCTTTATTCGCAATTCGTCTCCTTCAAAACAAACCAACTCGACACACGCGTATAAATACGGGCCCAAGTCCGATAGATCCAGCACAAAGCAATCAGCAATCAGCACCACACTCGATCGCTCAAAACGGTCTTCAGTACTCAACGATTTGAAAAAAACCACAAGACAACCAAACGTCAACATGTCCGGAAAGCTCGTTGTAAGTATACAAATATAATACAATGCGTAAACACGAATACTAACTTTAAAGTTTACTCAAACTTTGTCACTGTGAAATACTCGTAATTACTCAGGACTTATTATAATAATAAATATATTATGTATTTGACATAGTCATGGATTGTAGGCTCTGATGAAGAATAATATTATATATAAATGCGGCTTAACCTATAATATAATATTATGCTATACATTACACTTCACGTATGTGGTTCGGTTTGCAGGATTTTGATTAGTTAAAATATAATTGATTATAAATAGGTACTTACTATTATAACCAGTGGTTAATTTAGTACCTCCTATATCAAGACTATAATTTAGAGACATATAGTGTACCTATATTTAAATTAAATATTTTATGGTTATACGCACTTTCAAACTTATTATTTAATATTTATTGCACAGATATGAATATGGATACAATATAATATTATAATATGCTTATCGTCAGTTATCGATTTGTTTAATTTGCCTTTAGATCTTTTTCTTGGTTGCCGTTGCCCTGGCTTGCATCGGTTCCGCCGCCGCCCAATACGTCGTCTACCCCGCTGAACCAGCCATCACTTCCTACTACCACCCCTACGGATACACCTACCCCTTGACTTACAACTACAGATTCGGTGGTTACCCATACCTCTTACGCCGTTGATTTACACAGCCGATGTCACTTCCTTTCATAGTCATCGTCAAAAACCAAGGTTTAACCTAAGTTTGAATAAACTTGGTTTAATTCTTAGACCTTGGTTAAACTCGGGTTTAATAATGTATTATTCATAGTCAACATAGTCAATGGTCTAGGCTAAGTTTTGAAAAACTGTGGATTATCTTTGGTTTATTATAAACAGCTATAGAGCCACCCAAATTTCCATATTATTATTTATTACTAATTGTTGCCAATCTAAAAAAAAAAATAAGGTAAAAATACATTCTATGTTCTATTATTTTAATGCGAACGTTACAGTTTTCCCAGGTGTTTTTTTTTTCATGTCATTGTTATCGTTATATTTTATGAATTGTGGTAAAATATTTTTAGATTACCTATATGAATTTATTTTTAGTTTCGTGTTCTATTTTTGAGTTTATTAGTGGTATTTAATTATTTAAAATTATAATTTAAATTGCGTGATTCCATTTTAAAATGGATAAACAAAAAAGGGTTAATTGGGAAAGTGGAGAGAAAGAGCTACTAACTGAAATCGTCACAAAATTTATCAAAGTGATTGAAAATAAAAATTGTAACACAAATACGAATAAGTCAAAACTAGAAGCGTGGTCACAAATTTATAAAGAATATAATGGTAATTCAAAAACTCAAAGAACATTACTACAAATTAAAGGCGAATGGAAAAGAATGAAAATAGTTGCCAAAAAAAATGTTTCGTCATATAAACAAAATTTAAAACAAACTGGAGGAGGTCCTCCACCAGAATCAATAAACAAATTAGACATGACATTGCAGTCTTTAATGCCAATGGACTTTATTAAAGATGCAAACGATTTTGACTGTGACAATGACGGCTCAACTAAAAAGGTATAGTATTTATAATTTTTATAATAATTGTAATTATGTGTTTTTTGTATTTTTTTTCTGAGCTATTTATAGACATTTTAAATATTTTACTTTAATGTTGTTAAAAAAAAAAGTAGTGATTGTAATAATAGTAGTGTTTTTAATAATATTATTGACTTTGTTATTCTTTTTAACTATGATTATTATTTTTTTCTTATTTAGATTGGCATAAACAAAACTGTAACAAATGATTTCAAAATATTAGAAAAAGAGTCACCTGCATCATCGACAACGACTTCAAATACCGGTATACAAATATGTGCTGAAAGCTTAGATGAGTTTTTACAAAGAAATGATTTTGAAGATGTAAGCTAATTTTATGTTAATTTAAACTATTTATTTGTTAATAAGTTATATTTAAATTTAAAGCACATAATCATTGATCATGACGTATTGATACACGATGAAGACCTTCAAAAAAATAATCAAAGTGGTTCAATGATAAGACCTGATCTTGAGGAAGTAGATGAAAATGAATACAATTATTCACCAACTACAAATAACCAGACCAAAAAAGTAATGTCTTTTACTATCATATAATGCTACCTAATTATGTTATATAAATATATAATAAAGTTGTATTGCTATTAGTAATTTATTTTTTATATGATTTAATTAAATATCACAAAAAATAATATCAAATATTTAATATATATATATATAATAGTAATACTATATATTATATATTATATTATAATTAATTGTTAAATCAATAGTGACGCACCATAGAACGATATAAATACGTATAAACGTATAAGTACTGAAATCATATGGGGGTACTGTTCTTAGTAAGTAGTAACATACCTTAATATTAGAATTTGTATTTGTATTAGGTACAAAAAAAAAAAAATCAAGGATTTAACGGAAATAATTTAGATATACAAATGACTGAATACGAAGCAAATTTATTAAAAATACAAAAAGAAAAGTTTGAATTAGAAAAAAAGTTTTTGACTTTAGAACATCACCAGCGCTCTCTCATAAACGAAGCAAAATTGAAGTATTATGAATTAAAAACAAAACAGTTGGAGAACTTGAAACAGATTCAAGATTTAAACTGTTCTGATTAAATATAGGTATCAGATTACATTTTTAATTTCTCGTCATCTACTTATATTACGCAACAATTCTGTTATACCTATACATAATATACCTATATACTTTAATTATTATAAAATACTAAACATTATTCTTTATTATATTTATAACTATGTTATCAGTTATTTAGATACCTATAAGTAATAACATATATTATGTGATTTGTTTTTAAACTATTTATTTACGATTGTTACAAAAATATATTGTTAAATAATAAATATTAATATGATAATTATTAGGTACTATAAAATATATTATGAAATTTGTTTTTACTTACAAAAGTTACAAGAATAAAAATAAAAAAGTTTTAACTAATAATAATATGATATGTAATCTACCTATGATATACATATTACATACGTTTAATAAAAAAACTGTCGTATGTACTGCGCTCTTGCTACATTACCTCTATTTCGGTTTATTTGTACAACATTATAATTGTCCTCATCTGCAGAACTATCACTTTCACTTTCTTCATTATAATCATCATCTTCACTACTATCTTCTGTGCTACTATTGTTGTTATCGTTAGGATTTATATTATTGATATTTAAGTGTTTTTTAAAATGTAATTTCATGTTGTGTAACACTGATAATGCTACTATACCAACTTTAGCGTTCTCGAGACTTATGGTCATTCCTCGCAATAGACAGCGAAAACGTTGCTTGATTTGTCCAAATAATCTCTCTATTGTGTTTCTTGCTCTGATGTGTGTGTAATTGTATTGTCGCTCCACATCGTTTTGAGGATTAAGAATTGGTGTTAACATATATGGAGTACAAGCATAACCACTATCACCAAGTAAGATACCATTTATTGATCCATTTTCAAATTGTTCCTTGATAAGACTTTCGTTCCAAATCCTTGAATCGTGTGCACTTCCTCTCCAACGAGCAATTACATGCAATATATGACAATTTGCATCACAAATTACCTAAATTATTAATTATTAATTATTATTTATAAGTATTAAATATAATTTTAACAAGATTTTAACTTTATATTTTATAAATTTGAATATTTGAATAAAATACATGTTATATGGCTTACTTGAACATTTATTGAATAAAAGCCTTTTCTATTAATGTACAATTGAGCGTAGTCACCCGCCACCTTTTTGATCCGTATATGTGTACAATCTATCGCACCAATTATCGAAGGCATATTAAATTTTCTACGAAAATCTGCCTTTTTAGAAGCTAACTCTTCATTGGTCAATGGAAACTTAATATAATTATTTTTTAATGATGCTAGTGCTCTACAAATTTGACTCAAACATCGACTAACTGTCGGTTGACTAACACCATGTAAGTCTCCATTGTCGTCCTGAACCTTAAATTATAATAATATAGGTACTTTAATTTGTTTTAAATTCATAAATAAACTATTACTATAAACATTAAAACATAATCAATAATTACTTGTCCTCTAGCTAAATAACGAAGTGCAATCAACAATTGTAAGCTCGGCGAAATTGGTTTTCCGCGATTGTTAACTGCTCGAGGTAAAAAGTCACGAATTTCGTTTACGATTTGTAAGCATTCTGCTTTTGAAAATCGATACTTTTTAAGAAATTCATTATTAGTAAGTTCGATGTAAGGATTTTTACGAATCTTATATATTTTCCGCTGTCTAATAAAATGCACATTTCTTAAATTTCTTACGCGTCTAACATTTTGTACATTACCGATATCCATTTTTCGTAAGTATAAAACGCACGAGTTTTTAAAACACGAATGAATTAAATTAAATGATAATACATATTACATATTATTAAGATAACAGTGATTTTTATAATAAACCAACTTTAAACCTAGTATTTACCTAGTTTATAAATCAGAGGTTTATCGTTAAACTTAGTCTATGGTCTAAATAAAGTTTATCGTCTATGAATAACAAAAAAGATAAACTATTGTTAAACTACTAATAAACCAATGTTAAACCAGGTCCAATTTGACTATGAATAACACTGTAGAAGTTCGACATTATTGAGTTGGTTTTGGTAAACCACAGATGTCTATGCTTATTAAGTATAAAGTATGAACTGCTACAGGCACTATAATAGTATAGCTATTTAATTCTTAGCCCTTGGGGTAATAAATGAATTAATTAAGAAAAAAAAGATGTGTGGCGATCATCGAAACATTAAATTGATTAAAACTTTTATAAAAAATAAACAATTAATAACAATGAATATTATTGATAATAATTGTTGGTGTAATGTTATCACAAACGTAATTCTGCAGCCAACGAGAGCTCGCCATCTGAATGTACGGTATCCTTGTATACTACCGTAAGTAACTTTGTGACCGTCGATTTACAGTTTGGCGCCATTTCTGTGTTGTACCTAGTCGATTAATTTTAGGTGCATAACGAAATTATAAAATATTTTTTAATATAATAACGCAATTAATGGATTGTGTACAGTGTTATTGTGTAAGATTATTTAAAAACCATAAAAAATCGATTTTAAACGAATGAGTTGTATCTATATGGCGAGAATGAAAACAAATTTTCCACTGAAATCCTTTTAACATTACACAACAACGATTTCTTTCTTTCTTATTTTAATTAGAAATCATTTTACTTTTATTATAATATAAGTTTATAAATAATAACCATAGGCATAATGTTATGTATTTTTTTTTAATTTTAATTTTTTAAAAAACGTTTTTACTGTAATAATTAGATAACTATATTGGTATATAAACATTATACCTAATCATTAAAACAATTTATATTTTCTTCCTTTATTCGCAATGCTTGTATAGGCGGAATATAGAGAGTTAAAATGAATATTTATTACACGATAAGATTAAACTCGCTATAATTTATTGTAATTTGACAAAATTTTGAATAATGTGTAATAGCTAAAACAAAATTTTTAAACCCGCCAGTCTATAACATCAGAATATGATGAGACAGAAAGTCCTAAGCCTTTTAAAGGGTGAAGGAAAATGTTGTTTGAGTATAATAATTG